ATCATCATCATCATCATCATCATCATCATCATCATCATTTGTGAGGCCTCTGAAGTTTTATTTCAAAAACATGCTTCACCTTTGGAATGTGTCAGGATGCAAATATAGAATCTGTCAGCAGTTTATTAAAGCAGCTGCATCTTTGCCTGCTATCACACAGCTTTTCTCTGTAGCTACTCCATGATCCCAGGAATCAAAACAATCAAAACTATATGATAAGAGAAGTTCTGTGTCAAATTCTCCCTCCCTCTATAAAATGTCAGGATCCACCAACATCCTGATGTCATTATCCTGGGCATCTTCTTGCACTTCAGAGAGCTTTATTGGAAGTACCAGTATAGGTGGGACAGCAAGACTGAAATAACTTTTGTAAAGTATCCAGAAGGAGAACTGCAGATGGTTTACTCTTTAAGATAAAAGCAACAGCTAATTCTGAATAGACTAACATTTTTTACTCTTAATGGCCCAGTACTAAATGGTCTTAATGGAGAGTATGTCCTAGGCTATATAATTGTCTCTTGAAGTCTGCTCAGTGTCGCAGTTTGAGAGGGTCTGGCTTCACACAAGGACAATGAAATATCCCTAAGTTCGAGAAACCACAGTAACTAGTTAAGAACTGACACTTTGCAGATTTGACAAAACAAGATAAGTTGTTTTACTGCAGACAACAGAAATCATGCCCTAGATATACCAGCCTCAAGGTTTAAATCCTAAGTCTCTTTCCCCTTCTCTTTTCGTTAACAAACTTTGGGCCATTTGTCACCCAACCTTGAGACTAGGAGGCACCTGCTCACTGTCTATACAATGGTTCTGTCTGGCCTGAGCACCACAAGTTCCTGTCTTGACAATTTCAGCCCTTACAGAGATAATCAATTTGGTAGTGTCTGCAGGATCATGGTGTTGTCACTGAAACCTTTTGCAAGAAATTACGGGTGGAAACCTCAGAGAGAAGTCAGCCTCTTGGACTTTACCCCACAAAAGCAATGAAATTAAGTACTGTCTTTAGAAAGACCAAAGTTATGGTGCTTGCCAAAGGTCTGTCTCTCATAAACACTAGAACTATTGATACACTTAACACCCAAAGAAGTGTCACAGCTCTCCCCAAATTCTTTGTCTTTAAGGAAGGGGATTACATACCTGCAGCCATTAATATATTAGAGGTCAAGGATTTGGCTCAAATGTTGTAGGGCCCTCAGATTTGCCTAGCCTGCAGTTTTGCAAAACAGAAAAGAATACAATTTAAATGTCTTTGTCACATGAAGTAGCCCATTGTATAATGGCTTTCTCCATTCTGCAGATTTAAGGAGGCTGGGTTGGAGATCTGGGTGGAGAAATTCTCATGAGATGCGGCTATCTCCAGATGGAGAAAGGGCCAAGTGGGGAAGTCCCAGTGTGTCCCTCAGGCTGGTATCAGACATTACAAAGAAAAAAGTCCACGTTGTGTCCTTTAGCTGCATGATGTGGCCTCTTCAGAACTGATCAGTGAGTGAACTCTTGTTTGCACGACCACTATTAATTATACAGATATGACGCAGAACAGTGTGCCCATCTGGGGAGAGAGACCACAGAAATCCAATAAGACAGAGGTATTGTGACAGGTTCTCATATTCAAAAACTGAATAACAGCAGTCAATGTATCCATCAAGATATATGCAGCAGGTTTGCAAAAACATCTCTGGGTGGGTTTAATGCCTTCTTCAGTAACAGTGTAAGAACCTGTTGCTTAGCTCACTAGTTATCCTCATTCACACACATATGAAGTCTGCCTTCCCGTATCAACAACTTATGCTAAGAGCCCAGAGACAGGTGACAGGGGAAGATGGTTGAGATAGGGTCAGAGAAAAGAGTGGTTTAAAAGAAGTCTCTCAACACAGGTGTGCAGGAACCCACCATAAGAGCAAGTTTGGTAGTGCTGATGGCTACCAAGGTAAGCAAAGCAAAAGGAGTGAGAAGAGAACACAACTGACTGTCTGGGGGAGAGAGGAGCCGGCAGAGAATTCTCTCATCCTAACAGAGCAGGAAATGGTACATCCAAGGCCCACCCAAGCCATCCCTGCAGATCTGATCTTGGGAGTTTCAGCTTTGTCCATAATCGTTGTTGGGATCTTAGGGTTTTCATTTTCTTCTGTTGGGACACATTGCCACTTTTGTAATGGCTTTAGGTTCTTTGTCCTTCAGCCATAATCATTTGTTTGATCCTTTAGTTGGTTTGATCTGCATCTGACATCATTTTTCTGCACTGGAGCTGTCAGTTGATGCAATGTTCTTTGTTATATGACCTTGGCCTTCTGCTCAAGAGTGTGCAAGGGATACCATGGGTATATTTCTCTAGTTACACATTCAGAAGCATATCCTGAAGGTTTTATTGTTCTTGTTTCAACATGTTTTTCATTATTTGTACATATGTTTCCTCTAATCCACTGGCTTGTAGGAAACATGGCTTGGTGCTTGTAATCTTAAATCTCGATTCCTTGGCAAATGCTCTGTTGAACTTCATATAATGAAGTCCATTAGACGTAAATGATTTGCTAAGCTAGCATGAACTTCAGGTGATTGATCACTGTGCTCTATACAGTGTCTTTTAGCTGTATGATTTCTAGATTCGGTATCTACTGTAGTAGTTTACAAAGAACAGATAATTTGCCTGACCTTGTGCAAACAATTTCTGTTTCTAGTTTTTGCCATGATCTTTCTACAAGATAATTTACTTTCATACATTCTGCTGGATTTGACTTCAGATATTCTAAGTATATAGAACATTTTGTAACCTTACATATTATCAGGGAACTCATTTGTAGTTAATCCATGCTTTTTTTCAGTGCACAGTATCAAAAGAACCTATGTGTTTTTCTGCAACATATTAGGTCTTAATTTCTGCGACATTATTATCCTGTTCCTTTAAATGCCTATACTTACATGTTCCTAATATTCTACTATTCTGTTATTTTTATTGGCATGTCTTTTCTGATTTATGGCCATCTTCTTTTTACTGCTGCACATTTCTGCAGTCTTGTAACAAAGGAGGCCAACATTTTTGGATTTTCTGTTCTGCCTGGCACTGCAGGAGACATGGTTGGAGATGTCATAAGAACACTTGAATGAGCTGGCCTGACCTTGGGGAAGGTTTTTTTTGCTGGGCTAGAGTTAAAAGCACTGAATTTGCCATCTTAATCCCTCTCCCTATGTTAGTAATTACTGTTAAAACCCTACATTTTATCAGTGCTCCTATAGAAGAGCATTCTTTCGGTTTCCACCTTAGTGTAATAAGAGAAAGGGATAGTCCCTGGTCAGGTCCAGATTGTAAACTGCCTCTCCTGCTCACAAAGATTGTGTGGCCCTTTCCTCTCTGTCTTCTACTGTCTGCTGAAGACTTATTGTTCTAGCAAAGTTTTGGCCTTGCTGGCTAGATATTTTCTGTTTTGTTTTGTTTTTAATTCTGTTTTGCCCATCTCTCCATTCTACGTAGTATTTTATTTATAGGGTAGAGAAATATTTTATCGTATATTATGATGTTGATTTTTATATCATTACCATCTTCAAGAAGCCTTGTATTTTCAGAATTAGGAAGAATAAAAACTTACAGATTACAGATTGAGCTCCTTCTTGCGTACAAATCTTTCATTTAAAGTGAAATACTGACACCAAATGATGGGGGAAAAGACTAAAAAAATTAAAACAAATCAGTTAAACCTGGCAGTTGTAAGAAAAAGATAGCTTTTAATTCTATGAAAACCATGTTTTTGAGGGTAGGAACAAGCAAGAATTCCTCGATCCAACCAGCCTCTGGCATGTTGGTGTTTGTTTGAGACATAGTTCCTTTTCTTTGTTATGATTTGCTTCACCCAATCTGGGTTTTATGGTGGTTTAATGGTTAGTCTCAGTTCCCATTTCCATCCAGTCAGCAAGATCAGTGTAATTACTTCTTATCCTATTTCCTGACAAGGGACAAATTGTGTCTTCTAGAGCAATTCAGCCATGGTTGTGATGATGTAACAATAACAAGAAACCCTCTAAATCATCAGTGAGGAAGTGGTTAGAGTGATTATGAAAGGGAGAATTAGATATGGCACCTTGAGATCTTTGGAGGGCACCAAGGACAGACAGATCAAACTTGCTTTATTTTTCTAATTAGTCATGAGTTGCCTAGGGCCTTGCAGTTTGAATAAAATGATCTTGTCTTAATAGGGAAATAAAACTAGTTGTTTCCAATCCACTTGATAAAAGTTTTGCTTATGCAATATATTTCTAAATAGTTGTCTTCTTTGGATTCAGTCTATGTGCATGATATTTTATTATTAATAATAATATTAATATTATTATATCCGCTTTTTCTTTGAACAGCTCAAAGCAGCATACCTAATGTTCTCCTTCCTGGCTTCCCCACAACAACAGCCTGTGAGGCGGGCTGGGCCACTCTGCTGGCTTTTAACACACTACCAAGATATTTTAGCTTCAGATGGGAGGAATGGCAGGGAAGTTGTGGGTCACGACAGAAGTTTTGAGAAAGGGCAGAGGAAATCAGGGATTGGGTGGGCAGGCAGGTCACCTGAGTCCAAGAACAGCAGGGTTGGTGCACCGGCCAAGCAGAGGGTGGCAAGGAAGAATAAAAGGAGGATGGATTCCAAGAACTATGATGCTCATAGTTTGCAAGACAGCTGAAGGATGAATTCTATCCCATTTTTTAAAAAAACAGTGAATTTGCCTCTCTTAGCAGCAGCCAGGAGTGTCTGTGGGATGTGGTCAAAAAAGTCAGGAAGGCAGCTGTAATGATGTGATTGAAGCTCTGCCCATTTTTTAATTTCTGCCACCATCTTGATTTTTCTTTTTTTTTAACCACAGCCCGCAGACACCCTTGACAGCAGCAAATGTGCCACAAGGCACATTTTTGCCAACAAAGCTTGAATGCCCTGGAAACTAAACAAAGAGTAAACTACTTACCATCCTGCCTTCTACTAAGCTATACAGGAACATTTCTCCTGCCCCTATGCAGGAACCCAAATGGTAGTTATGAGGCCCTGGCCTTTGCAGGATGGTGGCTGCCCCTTGGAATCTGAGACCACATAGGGGCCCTTTGCTACAAGTGTCTACACCATGCATAAGATGGACTCATCATACAGAACCCCCTTACCAGAAGGGAAGGTCACTGTATGACTTACAAGCCCTCTAAACTGACCTTTGTATTTTTATCCTAGGCAGATGCAACAAAGCATGTGGCCCAAGTAGGACTAAGGAATATTCCATATAATTTCATTTATTTATTTATTACATTTATATCCTACTGCAATCATAAAAAGAGTCTCAGGTCCTCACAACATGTAACAAAGCAAGATATAATAATAACAATCAAAAGTAGAAAGACCTACAACCTGAACAGCATCTCGAATGACGCCCCAAACACCCTCTGGAAAAGCTCCATTTTCAGCTGCTTCCACTCCCATGGAAAGATGTGGTCCTGTAGGTAACCCAGTGGCCATCATGGGCTTTAGGGGCTGAAATCAGCCGCTTAAATTGCAGGGGCCACCAGGGAGGTGAATCCATCAGCGCCCAACACCTAACCAACTGAAACTTCCAACTGGCCTTGAAAGGCACATACTCTGCTCTGCTTCATACCAGCTTCCCACTTAATTT